GACAAGTGCCGCGAAGCGGCACTTGTCAGCCAATCATTTGTCCGGTTGAGCCAAATTGCCGTTATTCACAAATTTTTACCCAATAATGTATACTTATACTGAATCATAGGATGTCTATATAGTACTTCATTCAAAATGAGTACAGTAGCTTTTTAGATTCGGGCTTACTTTAAATATTCCGATTGTTTTTATACTATAGAATTTTAAATACAAATTAAATCCTTGGAAATAATTAAGTATTTAATCGATAAAGATTTGTTACCAAATCTTATATATGTTATATTTGTGCCAGATCAAGATTTCAAAACAGAGTTTAATTCGAACCCTATGTTGGATAGTTTATTAGTGGCATTATAGTTATTTTGACCTGATGCAAATTTTTTAATTCCACGTATAATGATAACAGAGATTTAAGTTTGGTAATGGGGGTTTTTTTTTATACTATATAAATTTCAGTTATATGCAACTTTGAATTTTGTAATTAATATCATTAGCCGTTATTAGCCGGCTGATTGGACTATCAGCTAGCTAAGCGGCTAAGTGGCTGGCTAAGCGGCTAATATAATCGGCTTGGAACACTATCTGCACCTATAGATCTAAGACAACTCATTTCATAGCTTACTTTTAAATCTCGTATGCAACATATTCCCATTCCTAATTTCGCGCAATTGCGCTGTACAGCTACTTATTAAATTAGTAGAAAAATTAGATATTTAATAATCAATTATAAGCCAAAAGTAGCCTTGAATTTCTTGGCGGTTACCAATTATCCTAGAACACCCATATTTTCGCAAATGGTAAAATACATTTTATCTTGTTAGAAGTTAAAAAAGCTCTTTTATAGTTGTAACAACTGCTCGTTCGTTACTTTTCAAAATCACTTATAGGGATGGATTCAGCTACGAACGGCTACGATTATTCATAGCCAATTAGCTAAATACAGAACTATGATTTTTTGTTTTTGAGTTTTTAATTAAAGTTGTTCAGAATTAAATTCTGTTCATCCCATATTATAAGTGAAAAGAACGATAGAACTCGGAGTTTTAAAATTTGTTAACGTCATAGCCGGCTAATAGCCGGCTAATAGCGCTAATAGAAAATCTGGGACAGGTTATGTTAATGTCAATCTCCGAATTTCAAACCAATATCGGTATCCGGATTTCAAATATTAAAATATTAATAACAATACCAATAATATTTAACGTTTAATATAAGTTTCGAAAAAACAAAAAATCATCACAGTATTTAGCAAATTGGCTACGTATGAATAAACGTAGTCGTTCGTCATCCCTAATCACTTAAGAACATCGTGTAACAGCTTATCTAAAAAAAATATAAAATCAGTCGATAAATATAGAAAATGAGTGAATTGGTGTCGTAAAACGTTGGCGTTTTTTTTAAATGGATATAATATTCCTATTTTAGAAATTAATTTGGAATTGTATAATTAACTATATAAAAATTTTTAAACTTATAAAAAGAACTAGGTTCACAACTAAGCAGACAGTTATTTAGTCAAAATAAACGATAATTTCATATAATAAAATGAAATCGATCTATCTTATAATATTTATACTTATTGTATTTACTAATTTTGTTCATTCACGTTGGATTCCACGTAAAGAAAATATTAATATATGTGATAAGCTTGATGAATATGTTATTTCACTTTATTCAGAAGAACAATTTCTTAATTATTCTGATGTAAAAGCTTGTTATGAATTAACACCATACAATAAAACAAAGGCAATTCAGGTATTACTAATTTTAGCCTTATAAAATAATAAGGGTTTCAGAATTAAAAAAGAATAGCGTATTTTGGAATTTAAAATATCTTATTTATGTATCAAATTTCGAAATCAGAAAATAAATGGAGTGCTTAAAGTCACCCATTCGACAAAATTTCTTCGGATTAAGTTTATTATAGGCGACCCCTTCCATTTGGCGCAGGGATGTGACGAATCATTCTATGTGACAAATATATATAGCTAATATAATTAATTAGTATATGTTTATTTGTCACATGAATAATTAGTCGCCCTCTGTGCCAAATGGATGGGTCACCAATAATTGACTAAATCCAACTTTCTCCGGTCGTCAGTTCAAAATGAAATTAGATTTCCGCATTTTAATTCTGAAACCCCTTAATGCATAAATTTAATAATAATATTCTAATTAAAATCATATACGTATTAGGTAATAGAGGCAATAAAAGAAAATCTTAAAGGGTTCTATGCGTTACTAGATCAAGCAAAAGAAGAACAAAATCCGGGATTTGCTTTAAGACCTATTGACCTAATATCTGAATTAGATTTAGTGTTAAAGAATAATTATTCGTACGAATTTCAATTTATTGTAAGTATCTAATTTTAAATTTTTAATATATTACAGAATTGCTCATTATTTTATCACTATGTATTAGTACGATGTTGCAGATCTTATTAACGAATTGAGAGATGGACATACCTGGTAAGCTATATTGTTACTAAGATTATGTGAAGATATAAAAATATAATTAACAAATTTTATACATCTTCACAGGCTGAATTCTGATAATTATCACAAGTACAATTTTCAGCAGGGACTTTCTATGTATTCCGTGATTAGGAAAGATGGCACACAGGTAAATGATTAAATATATCATAAAGTCAAATAATATATACACTTATTAATCCATTATATTATCCATTATATTAGCAAATTAAAGTTTTTAATGACACAAAAGAACCTAACAACATCGATTGTCAAGTTATATATATAGATGATAAACCAGCGATTGATGTAATTACTGAATTTGCTAGAAATCACACATATTGGTCGAGAGATTTGAGTGCTCGATTTAATTCAGCCCTTGCATCACTTGCATTTGGAAATGGTGATTTTTTTATTGCAGGACAATTATTCACATCTAGAAATCAATTGCCAAAAAACCCAAGTATTTCTTACACTCTTAATTGTAATGGTAAAATTTCTAAAATTACTCGAGAATGGCAAGTTCCTATTTATGATGTGCAATATAAATCTCCATACATCAATGGGGCTTCAGTCGGAAAAGCGACTTTAATATTTGATGCGTTCATTGCCAGATTTTATATATTACAAGATTTTGGCGTTGTCTTGATTTCAACTGAAGATATTTTAAATGGTGACTCTGACCTTGAATATCATTTTCTATCAGATATAGCCATTGGATTTAAATTGCTTGCAGACAGAGGTATAGAAAAGGTATGTCAACTATAAATATTGTTTATTGTAAGTACAATAAAAGTTACTATATTATAAAACACTAAAATATTTTATTTTAAAATTTCGTACTAGATCATTTTAGATTTAAGTAATAATGGTGGTGGCCAAATCTTCGCTGCGGACTACATAAATAAACTATTATTTCCAAACATACAAAAGTTTCCAGTGGACTATAAGGTTAATAATATTTCTATTCCATTTATAAAAGAAACAGCTAAGACTAAAAGAGGAACTGGAATATTTCATTATAAGTCATTTATTTCTGCAAAGACAAATTGTCCATTTGATAGCGTTAATGACTTTGTTGGAAATAATATATATACTCGTGGTGGTGTTCAAGTTAGATATACTTCAAAAGCATTTCGTAATGATACAACACTTTATAGTGGAAATTTCAAATTTCAAATTCCTCCAAAACTCCCTTGGACTGAGAAAGATATTATAATTTTGACAAATGGAATATGTCTATCATCATGTGCAATTATAACTCAAAGATTGGCAGAAATTAATGTTCCTACAATAGCCGTTGGTGGATTTCCGAATACTCGGTTTTCTTTTGCTCAATATGCTGTTGGAGGTGCATCATCTACTGCTGAAATTAAACCTATATTTAATCAACTTAAAAATCTTGATAGTTCTTTAGTTTCTAAATTATCTCTTCCTGAAAATTTAACGTTGTATTTTACTCTAGCTGAAGCTTATAGCATTAAGAATCCAAATGAGGTTATGGATTATGCTTTTAGACCTGCTGATTATCAATTGTATTATGATGAACGAAGTGCCAGAGATCCTAGTCAATTATGGATAAAGGCAGCAAAATTTTTCAGAAAGTAAAAGAATTACTGTTAAATATTAGATTAAATGATTAATACCCTAATGTAAAAAAATGCTTATACATTAATGTATTAATAATTATTGAATTCTAATTACTATTATTCTTATTGTATTTTTATTTAAATTTTCTTTTTTATTTTTGGAATAAATATAGAAAATATTGTAGTTATGATCTGTGCTGATTTCAATTCTATGCTACAAAATTGGCGTATTCAATTGTAAATTAAGAATAATGCTTGTTATTTCACGATCTATGAAAATTTGACAAAAAAAGTATAAATTTACATATATAATTTTTATGTTCTGATCACATATATATGTTTGCATTCAAAGTGGTCACCCTATACAACTTTAGATAATTTTGTGAGACAATTTCTTTGTAGCAATATCAAATTGATCTAATAATTTTATTAAAATTTCAATATAATTTTGTTCACTTTGAGTTAAATAAAGATCTTGTAATACTAGATGATGTAGTATAATTGTATCTAAATATTCTTTAAGAACTAGTATTCGTTTTAGAATATAAAAAGTGGAATTTCAGCAAGTTTTAATATCAAGAATTGGTTGAAGAAATTCCTTTTTATCTGCTAAATGAAATTATTCCAAATATGTATAAGAATCACATAATGCTTTACTAGCTATCTTACTTTTTTAATTAGTAACTCAACCTGTTTTAATCCACTTCCTATTGCAAGATTAAGTAAATAACAAATACAATGATAATATATAAACTCATCAGAATCAAGTTTTGCTTTTATTAGATGACATGCTCTATTATCACTTGTAATAGCTGCAACTATTTGAGTTAATATAAATTTATCTAAAATCAATATTATAAAATTACAAATTTCTATTCCCAAATTTAAGTATTTCTAAAGTAAAAAGTTGTATCTTATCAACAAAGTGAATTGTAGAAACAAGAAAACTCTCTATTTTAATATTAGTCTACATATCTATAGTAATTGATACAGCTTCAGGAATATTACTAATTTTTTTAAAAAAAAAATTTGGCAGTCATGCTTAAACTTTATTAGATTAACTGCAATTGGCTCTACCACATGCAGATTTATCACTAAAACACTAGCTTTAGTATCTAATTTCTAAGTTTCGACTAATCTGGTTATCCAATAGACATTTATGTTTGACCTGCTATAGCCAATATTGTCTATGCATCTATCTTTTAAGCAACCAAAGTAGATCGGTACATCATCAACTAGAATTGGCTGCCCATCATAACTGCCAATTTCTTTAAGACCTTCACCTTCTTAATATTCAAGCAAGAGAATTTCATAATCCTTGCCTCAAAGATGTCAAGTATACTAAAAAAAAACTAAACTAAACAAGGAAGTAAAAAAAAAGGTAGAAGAACTGCAAAAAACTAAACAAGAACCAAATACAAAAAAAATAAAAATAAAATGATAAAAAAAAGAGAAAGACAAAAAGAAAAAAGCAAAAACAATGAAAGTAATGGGTATACCAATACTTGAAGAAACACAAAGTTTTGGTTAAAAAATTATTTAATACTCTGTAAAACAATCCCCACCTTCACTTTACTTTGGTATTAAAATAGTTCTTATTATGTGGGGAATACGAAATTTTTCTTATTTACCCATCAATACAAAACCAATTAGTTGACCTTTGTTTATATACTACTTGTACGTGTCCTTCAACAGTTGCTAAATATAGAGTATCTAACTTCCTTGTGACTACCTCCCAATTCGGTAATGTAAGCAATGTTGATCTTTTAATAGGGTATGCCGAAATTTACACTTATTGGAAAAAATTTCAAGAGAAATACCAAAAAACCCAGCGGGAATATATAGAGTAGTTTTTGGAAACAAGTACTTCAAATCTTTAAGGAATGTATTTAAAAAACTCATTTGTTGTTCTCCTTTTCTTTATTCCTCTCTGTTGCTTTGTCAGCAAAGACTGCTTTTTACACTAAGCCTGTCAATACCAAAATTTTGTACACAAGGATACAACCTTCAGCCAGTTATCTTATATATCAACACTTTTGGCTTGCATGCTAAATATGTTAAAGAAGTTCCCAAGGAGAGAATATAATCTGGCTGGACCTTTGCAAGAACCGCCCAATAGTCGCATAGACTACTTTAATAATTTTTAGTTTTTTGTTTGGTGGGAAAATTTGGTACAAGTGATTGTTGGGGAGAGTTGTGATTAATAGATTGGAATATTACTAATTATTATATTAAATTTATAACATTGTTTTATAAATATATCCAAAATTTTATTTTGAATTGTTTGTTGCTTTGAAATTATTAATAGTAAATCAAGTTTATTTAATAATTTATAAAATAAAGGCTTATCTACTACAGAAAAAGGTTGCATACTTTGAAT